CTAGGGCCGGCTCCTTAGCTGATACTACTACTGCCACGCTGAGTGCGGTAGCTGATTTGAGAATCCGCGGCTGCAATGTAAAGCAGCCAGAGATACATGCAGCCGAGTACTTGCTGAAGCATCAACACAGCATGGCAAACAGGTAAAAAAAGATCTTGTTATCCAAATAAATTTAATGTGTTTATCTAAAATCAAGTACTGATATCTTCACTGTTTACTCATGTGTTGCACTGTAGCAGCAACAGTGTTTATCGAGATGTAAACGACTTGCACTTTCTTGTGCTTCTCAATCATTTAGTACTTGGCAGCGCGATAAAGGCGGAACAATCGATCGTGAGCGCCAGCCCGCTAATTTCCGGTAAAACCTAATGTTCTTCTGGCAATTGCACAAGTTTTGATTGTTCTGCTAGCACGGGACGCGCTTCGTTGTGGTAGTGTATGCACGAAGATTACTCATAGCATCGAGTGACTTACGTGGATTTTACGCCTTTAGTGGATCCTGGTGAGTTCCGACGAACGTTACGAGTTACGCGGTCATCTTTGCACGATTACTCGATAGGCTTCAGCCTTACACTACTAAGAATGTAGCGGGGTAAGAGTTACCGTCACTAGCTTACACTATAGTGTGAAGGAAGCTCGCAACAATAAAAACAAGTCTTAGGTTTGTGTAAGATTCAACTCTGATTTATTTGGGACCAGGGCGGCCTCGTGTGAACCACTCAAATACAGGTCTACACCTGATTGGTCAATAAGTGAGTCTGGCTTCTCATTATCAGCCACTCAGATTATGACACCTTGGCACTGGGGTAGCGTGTGCCACTTTGCCTACTTATGTAATAATTAAAAAAATATCTACCCACTTATGTAATTGGAGTTGGGCCCATAACAAAGAAGACGCCTCTGTCGGCACCGGTCCGGCTTGCTGTTTTCCTCTACTATGTAGGCCATGGCTGGTTGTTGCTACGGCTTGGTTCTCAATACGGTATCGGTAAATCCACGGGCCCTGATATCACTTGCAATGTGGCTGCTGCAGTTGTGAGGTTTATAAAGGTTCTCACTAATTTCTCCACTACACGTAATAAACTTTTTAGGCGTGCAATCAATGAAGATGGATATGGGGTACCTGGTTGTATTAGTGCGCTGGACGGTTGTCATATCCAGATCTTGCAGCCATCGATGATGAATGGGTGATGAATAGCAAAAAGTGCTATAATCGCAAGGGCTTCTTTTCATTTATTATGTGCCGTGGTGGCGGTTCCTCGATATTGACGTGCAGCATTGGCCAGGATCTGCGGTGGTAGTCATGTGTTTAGTAACAGTGCTGCAGGTCGTTTGTACGCGTCGGTGTTTTCGGCTGTGGATAATAACGGTGGTGCTGGATTTCTCTAGTCGGGATGATCTGAGCATTGAAAGATCCCGTTTTTTTGCTTGCTGATTCCGTTTACGCTAATACAAAGCATGTGGTAGCTACGAGTGAGATTGCTCCATGATCAACAAGTCGAACAAAAAATTGGCGGATATGTGTAGAGTGTGCATTTGGAGTTGCAAAAATGAGGTGGTGGGCTATTACAAAACCGACAAAAAGTGCTAGAACGTATTACAAGCTATTCCGACTTTGGTGGGTTCAGTGTGCTTTGGCTCACTCACGACCCTGTGGGGAGATCACAACTTGGAAGCTCTTGATTCAGCGTCATCCATTGCTCAAAGGCAATCGGTGTCGTCTTAAGCACCGCAGAGACATACGACATATTGCAATTCCTACACAAAAATGACGGCGTGGCGGAGGCGTCGTCGTGACGATTCGTCCGATGCAAAATGCACCAGCTATCCCTTTGACTAGAAGATTGGCTCTGGCATTTGTGGCCGAGGATGCACCACAACCACACTGATGAGTAGCGGTAAAGTGCGTGAAATGCGAGGCTGCCGTCGGGGAGGGATGACATCTTTTGGAGTGTAGTGGGTCCATGCACCTTCGTATCAGCCGAAGAAGACCAGGAGACGGTCACCGATACGCCTGCGGTGGTGGTGACGATGCTTGTTCGTGCGGAGCGTGCGTATGTCGTGCAGGTGATGCGTATTTTGATTTGGTTGGCGTGGTGGCTGTTGTTGAGTTATGATGCTCCTTTGGCTCAGTTGGTAGAGCGTCAGTCTCATAATCTGAAGGTCGCCAGTTCGAGCCTGGCAGGTAGCACTTCTTTGCCTCTTTTTGCTCTATCAGCGTCTGCTATCTCTTACGGCGTTTACACGACCCCCACAGCCTCTTACGCTCCAATGGTGCATCGCACCTTTCACTATAACATCTAGCCATCATGTGCGTCTCTTAATTCGGCTTGCTCCCCGCTGTCATCCTCATTGGCTCGAGTTCAAGCCCGAGTGGGGAGTTCGCAATTTGGAAGCTCTCAGTTTATCGTGAACCGTTACTCAAAGGCAATCGGTGTCGTCGTAAGCTCCGCAGAGACATACGACATATTGCAATTCCCACACAAAAATGACGGCGTGGCGGAGGCGTCGTCGTGGCGATTCGTCCGATGCGAAATTCACCAGCTATCCCTCTGACTAGAAGATTGGCTCTGGCATTTGTGACCGAGGATGCACCACAACCACACTGATGAGTAGCGGTAAAGTGCGTGAAATGCGAGGCTGCCGTCGGGGAGGGATGACATCTTTTGGAGTGTAGTGGGTCTATGACACTTCGTGTCAGCCGAAGAAGACCAGGAGACGGTCACCGATACGCCTGCGGTGGTGGTGACGATGCTTGTTCGTGCGGAGCGTGCGTATGTCTTGCATGTGATGCGTATTTTGATTTGGTTGGCGTGGTGGCTGTTGTTGAGTTATGATGCTCCTTTGGCTCAGTTGGTAGAGCGTCAGTCTCATAATCTGAAGGTCGCCAGTTCGAGCCTGGCAGGGAGCACTTCTTTGCCTCTTTTTGCTCTATCAGCGTCTGCTATCTCTTACGGCGCTTACACGAACCCCACAGCTTCTTACGCTCCAATGGTGCATCGCACCTTTCACTATAGCATCTAGCCATCATGTGCGTCGTTCAATTCGGCTTGCTCCCCGTTGTCATCCTCGTTGGCTCGAGTTCAAGTCCGAGTGGGGAGTGCGCAATTTGGAAGCTCTCAGTTTATCGTGAACCGTTACTCAAAGGCAATCGGTGTCGTTGTAAGCGCCGCAGAGACATACGACATATTGCAATTCCCACACAAAAATGACGGCGTGGCGGAGGCGTCGTCGTGGCGATTCGTCCGATGCAAAATGCACCAGCTATCCCTTTGACTAGAAGATTGGCTCTGGCATTTGTGACCGAGAATGCATCACAACCACACTGATGAGTAGCGGTAAAGTGCGTGAAATGCGATGCTGCCGTCGGGGAGGGATGACATCTTTTGGAGTGTAGTGGGTCTATGACACTTCGTGTCAGCCGAAGAAGACCAGGAGACGGTCACCGATACGCCTGCGGTGGTGGTGACGATGCTTGTTCGTGCGGAGCGTGCGTATGTCTTGCATGTGATGCGTATTTTGATTTGGTTGGCGTGGTGGCTGTTGTTGAGTTATGATGCTCCTTTGGCTCAGTTGGTAGAGCGTCAGTCTCATAATCTGAAGGTTGCCAGTTCGAGCCTGGGAGGGAGCACTTCTTTGCCTCTTTTTGCTCTATCAGCGTCTGCTATCTCTTACGGCGTTTACACGACCCCCACAGCCTCTTACGCTCCAATGGTGCATCGCACCTTTCACTATAACATCTAGCCATCATGTGCGTCTCTTAATTCGGCTTGCTCCCCGCTGTCATCCTCATTGGCTCGAGTTCAAGCCCGAGTGGGGAGTTCGCAATTTGGAAGCTCTCAGTTTATTTGTGAGCCGTTACTCAAAGGCAATCGGTCTCGTCGTAAGCGCCACAGAGACATACGACATATTGCAATTCCCACACAAAAATGACGGCGTGGCGGAGGCGTCGTCGTGGCGATTCGTCCGATGCGAAATGCACCAGCTATTCCTTTGACTAGAAGATTGGCTCTGGCATTTGTGACCGAGGATGCACCACAACCACACTGCTGAGTAGCGGTAAAGTGTGTGAAATGCGATGCTGCCGTCGGGGAGGGATGACATCTTTTGGAGTGTAGTGGGTCTGTGACACTTCGTGTCAGCCGAAGAAGACCAGGAGACGGTCACCGGTACGCCTGCGGTGGTGGTGACGATGCTTGTTCGTGCGGAGCGTGCGTATGTCTTGCATGTGATGCGTATTTTGATCTGGTTGGCGTGGTGGCTGTTGTTGAGTTATGATGCTCCTTTGGCTCAGTTGGTAGAGCGTCAGTCTCATAATCTGAAGGTCGCCAGTTCGAGCCTGGCAGGGAGCACTTCTTTGCCTCTTTTTGCTCTATCAGCGTTTGCTATCTCTTACGGCGCTTACACGACCCCCACAGCCTCTTACGCTCCAATGGTGCATCGCACCTTTCACTATAACATCTAGCCATCATGTGCGTCGTTCAATTCGGCTTGCTCCCCGTTGTCATCCTCGTTGGCTCGAGCTCAAGTCCGAGTGGGGAGTTCGCAATTTGGAAGCTCTCGGTTTATCGTGAACCGTTACTCAAAGGCAATCGGTGTCGTCGTAAGCGCCGCAGAGACATACGACACATTGCAATTCCCACACAAAAATGACGGCGTGGCGGAGGCGTCGTCGTGGCGATTCGTCCGATGCGAAATGCACCAGCTATTCCTTTGACTAGAAGATTGGCTCTGGCATTTGTGACCGAGGATGCACCACAACCACACTGCTGAGTAGCGGTAAAGTGCGTGAAATGCGAGGCTGACGTCGGGGAGGGATGACATCTTTTGGAGTGTAGTGGGTCTGTGACACTTCGTGTCAGCCGAAGAAGACCAGGAGACGGTCACCGGTACGCCTGCGGTGGTGGTGACGATGCTTGTTCGTGCGGAGCGGGCGTATGTCTTGCATGTGATGCGTATTTTGATCTGGATGGCGTGGTGGCTGTTGTTGAAGTTATGATGCTCCTTTGGGCTCCAGTTGGTAGAGCGTCAGTCATCATAATCGGAAGGTCGCCCAGTTCGATCCTGGCAGCAGAGCACTTCTTTGCCTCTTTTTGCTCTATCGAGCGTTTACTATCTCGTACGGCGCTTACACGACCCCCCACAGCCTCGTACGCTCCAGTGGTGCATCGCACTTTCACTATAACATCTAGCCATCATGTGCGTCATTCAATTCGGCTTGCTCCCCGTTGTCATCCTCGTTGGCTCGAGCTCAAGTCCCGAGTGGGGAGTTCGCAATTTGGAAGCTCTCAGTTTATTGTGAACCGTTACTCAAAGGCAATCGGTGTCGTCGTAAGCGCCCGCCGAGACATACGACATATTGCAATCCCCACACAAAAATGACGGCGTGGCGGAGGCGTCGTCGTGGCGATTCGTCCGATGCGCAATGCACCAGCTATTCCTTTGACTAGAAGATTGGCTCTGGCATTTGTGGCCGACGATGCACCACAACCACACTGATGAGTAGCGGTAAAGTGCGTGAAATGCGATGCTGCCGTCGGGGAGGGATGACATCTTTTGGAGTGTAGTGGGTCTATGACACTTCGTGTCAGCCGAAGAAGACCAGGAGACGGTCACCGATACGCCTGCGGTGGTGGTGACGATGCTTGTTCGTGCGGAGCGTGCGTATGTCTTGCATGTGATGCGTATTTTGATTTGGTTGGCGTGGTGGCTGTTGTTGAGTTATGATGCTCCTTTGGCTCAGTTGGTAGAGCGTCAGTCTCATAATCTGAAGGTCGCCAGTTCGAGCCTGGCAGGGAGCACTTCTTTGCCTCTTTTTGCTCTATCAGCGTCTGCTATCTCTTACGGCGCTTACACGACCCCCACAGCCTCTTACGCTCCAATGGTGCATCGCACCTTTCACTATAACATCTAGCCATCATGTGCGTCTCTTAATTCGGCTTGCTCCCCGCTGTCATCCTCATTGGCTCGAGTTCAAGCCCGAGTGGAGAGTTCGCAATTTGGAAGCTCTCAGTTTATTGTGAGCCGTTACTCAAAGGCAATCGGTGTCGTCGTAAGCGCCGCAGAGACATACGACATATTGCAATTCCCGCACAAAAATGACGGCGTGGCGGAGGCGTCGTCGTGGCGATTCGTCCGATGCGAAATGCACCAGCTATTCCTTTGACTAGAAGATTGGCTCTGGCATTTGTGGCCGAGGATGCACCACAACCACACTGATGAGTAGCGGTAAAGTGCGTGAAATGCGATGCTGCCGTCGGGGAGGGATGACATCTTTTGGAGTGTAGTGGGTCTATGACACTTCGTGTCAGCCGAAGAAGACCAGGAGACGGTCACCGATACGCCTGCGGTGGTGGTGACGATGCTTGTTCGTGCGGAGCGTGCGTATGTCTTGCATGTGATGCGTATTTTGATTTGGTTGGCGTGGTGGCTGTTGTTGAGTTATGATGCTCCTTTGGCTCAGTTGGTAGAGCGTCAGTCTCATAATCTGAAGGTCGCCAGTTCGAGCCTGGCAGGGAGCACTTCTTTGCCTCTTTTTGCTCTATCAGCGTCTGCTATCTCTTACGGCGTTTACACGACCCCCACAGCCTCTTACGCTCCAATGGTGCATCGCACCTTTCACTATAACATCTAGCCATCATGTGCGTCGTTCAATTCGGCTTGCTCCCCGCTGTCATCCTCATTTGCTCGAGTTCAAGCCCGAGTGGGGAGTTCGCAATTTGGAAGCTCTCAATTTATCGTGAACCGTTACTCAAAGGCAATCGGTGTCGTCGTAAGCTCCGCAGAGACATACGACATATTGCAATTCCCACACAAAAATGACGGCGTGGCGGAGGCGTCGTCGTGGCGATTCGTCCGATGCGAAATGCACCAGCTATTCCTTTGACTAGAAGATTGGCTCTGGCATTTGTGGCCGAGGATGCACCACAACCACACTGATGAGTAGCGGTAAAGTGTGTGAAATGCGATGCTGCCGTCGGGGAGGGATGACATCTTTTGGAGTGTAGTGGGTCCATGCACCTTCGTATCAGCCGAAGAAGACCAGGAGACGGTCACCGATACGCCTGCGGTGGTGGCGACGATGCTTGTTCGTGCGGAGCGTGCGTATGTCTTGCATGTGATGCGTATTTTGATTTAGTTGGCGTGGTGGCTGTTGTTGAGTTATGATGCTCCTTTGGCTCAGTTGGTAGAGCGTCAGTCTCATAATCTGAAGGTCGCCAGTTCGAGCCTGGCAGGGAGCACTTCTTTGCCTCTTTTTGCTCTATCAGCGTCTGCTATCTCTTACGGCGCTTACACGACCCCCACAGCCTCTTACGCTCCAATGGTGCATCGCACCTTTCACTATAACATCTAGCCATCATGTGCGTCGTTCAATTCGGCTTGCTCCCCGTTGTCATCCTCGTTGGCTCGAGTTCAAGTCCGAGTGGGGCGTTCGCAATTTGGAAGCTCTCAGTTTATCGTGAACCGTTACTCAAAGGCAATCGGTGTCGTCGTAAGCTCCGCAGAGACATACGACATATTGCAATTCCCACACAAAAATGACGGCGTGGCGGAGGCGTCGTCGTGGCGATTCGTCCGATGCGAAATGCACCAGCTATTCCTTTGACTAGAAGATTGGCTCTGGCATTTGTGACCGAGGATGCACCACAACCACACTGATGAGTAGCGGTAAAGTGCGTGAAATGCGAGGCTGCCGTCGGGGAGGGATGACATCTTTTGGAGTGTAGTGGGTCTATGACACTTCGTGTCAGCCGAAGAAGACCAGGAGACGGTCACCGATACGCCTGCGGTGGTGGTGACGATGCTTGTTCGTGCGGAGCGTGCGTATGTCTTGCATGTGATGCGTATTTTGATTTGGTTGGCGTGGTGGCTGTTGTTGAGTTATGGTGCTCCTTTGGCTCAGTTAATAGAGCGTCAGTATCATAATCTGAAGGTCGCCAGTTCGAGCTTGGCAGGGAGCACTTCTTTGCCTCTTTTTGCTCTATCAGCGTCTGCTATCTCTTACGGCGTTTACACGACCCCCACAGCCTCTTACGCTCCAATGGTGCATCGCACCTTTCACTATAACATCTAGCCATCATGTGCGTCTCTTAATTCGGCTTGCTCCCCGTCGCCATCCTCATTGGCTCGAGCTCAAGCCCGAGTGGGGCGTTCGCAATTTGGAAGCTCTCGGTTTATCGTGAACCGTTACTCAAAGGCAATCGGTGTCGTCGTAAGCGCCGCAGAGACATACGACACATTGCAATTCCCACACAAATATGACGGCGTGGCGGAGGCGTCGTCGTGGCGATTGGTCCGATGCGAAATGCGCCAGCCATCACTTTGACTAGAAGATTGGCTCTGGCATTTGTGACCGAGGATGCACCACAACCACACTGATGAGTAGCGGTAAAGTGCGTGAAATGCGATGCTGCCGTCGGGGAGGGATGACATCTTTTGGAGTGTAGTGGGTCTATGACACTTCGTGTCAGCCGAAGAAGACCAGGAGACGGTCACCGGTACGCCTGCGGTGGTGGTGACGATGCTTGTTCGTGCGGAGCGTGCGTATGTCTTGCATGTGATGCGTATTTTGATTTGGTTGGCGTGGTGGCTGTTGTTGAGTTATGATGCTCCTTTGGCTCAGTTGGTAGAGCGTCAGTCTCATAATCTGAAGGTCGCCAGTTCGAGCCTGGCAGGGAGCACTTCTTTGCCTCTTTTTGCTCTATCAGCGTCTGCTATCTCTTACGGCGTTTACACGACCCCCACAGCCTCTTACGCTCCAATGGTGCATCGCACCTTTCACTATAGCATCTAGCCATCATGTGCGTCGTTCAATTCGGCTTGCTCCCCGTTGTCATCCTCATTGGCTCGAGTTCAAGCCCGAGTGGGGAGTTCGCAATTTGGAAGCTCTCAGTTTATCGTAAACCGTTACTCAAAGGCAATCGGTGTCGTCGTAAGCGCCGCAGAGACATACGACATATTGCAATTCCCACACAAAAATGACGGCGTGGCGGAGGCGTCGTCGTGGCGATTCGTCCGATGCGAAATGCACCAGCTATTCCTTTGACTAGAAGATTGGCTCTGGCATTTGTGGCCGAGGATGCACCACAACCACACTGATGAGTAGCGGTAAAGTGCGTGAAATGCGAGGCTGACGTCGGGGAGGGATGACATCTTTTGGAGTGTAGTGGGTCTATGACACTTCGTGTCAGCCGAAGAAGACCAGGAGACGGTCACCGATACGCCTGCGGTGGTGGTGACGATGCTTGTTCGTGCGGAGCGTGCGTATGTCTTGCATGTGATGCGTATTTTGATTTGGTTGGCGTGGTGGCTGTTGTTGAGTTATGATGCTCCTTTGGCTCAGTTGGTAGAGCGTCAGTCTCATAATCTGAAGGTCGCCAGTTCGAGCCTGGCAGGGAGCACTTCTTTGCCTCTTTTTGCTCTATCAGCGTCTGCTATCTCTTACGGCGTTTACACGACCCCCACAGCCTCTTACGCTCCAATGGTGCATCGCACCTTTCACTATAACATCTAGCCATCATGTGCGTCTCTTAATTCGGCTTGCTCCCCGCTGTCATCCTCATTGGCTCGAGTTCAAGCCCGAGTGGGGAGTTCGCAATTTGGAAGCTCTCAGTTTATCGTGAACCGTTACTCAAAGGCAATCGGTGTCGTCGTAAGCGCCGCAGAGACATACGACATATTGCAATTCCCACACAAAAATGACGGCGTGGCGGAGGCGTCGTCGTGGCGATTCGTCCGATGCGAAATGCACCAGCTATTCCTTTGACTAGAAGATTGGCTCTGGCATTTGTGGCCGAGGATGCACCACAACCACACTGATGAGTAGCGGTAAAGTGTGTGAAATGCGATGCTGCCGTCGGGGAGGGATGACATCTTTTGGAGTGTAGTGGGTCTATGACACTTCGTGTCAGCCGAAGAAGACCAGGTCACGGTCACCGATACGCCTGCGGTGGTGGTGACGATGCTTGTTCGTGCGGAGCGTGTGTATGTCTTGCAGGTGATGCGTATTTTGATTTGGTTGGCGTGGTGGCTGTTGTTGAGTTATGATGCTCCTTTGGCTCAGTTGGTAGAGCGTCAG